TGGCAATGTCGGAGAGAAGCGACGTTTCGGAGGGCTTCGTTTTTCTCCCAGTAGGAGTCCGTTTCAGAGAAAACCAGTTTGGGAGGGCTTGGAATACCGACTCCAATTCCAAATCCAACCAAGTATGTCAATGTTAAACAAAACCATTTTTAATATAGAGGAAGGGACAGAGAGAGAGAGAGAGACAGACCGAGATCGACAGACAGAGAGACCGAGATGGACCATCGACAAAGACAACCAGACAGAGATCGACAGAAAGAGACCGAGATGGACAGAGACAGACCACGATCACTGGAAACAGATCAACATAGACAGGGATCAACAGCGAAAGACCGACATCGACGGAGAAGAGACCGACATCAACAGAGAGAGACCAAGATCGATAGAGACAGAGAAAAAAACCTTTCATTTGCGGCAGCGGCGGTGGTGGTGGCAGTAGCGGTCGCCGTGGCGATGGCGATGTTAGACGGTGGTAAGCACCGGAGGCCACCGACGCTTGCGTGGTCAACGGGGGTCAGGATTGGTGGTGACTATTCAGTGTGTGTGTGAGAGAGAACAGAGAAAAGGGCGGTGGGAAACAGAGAAGATAGGGGCCGATGGTAATAAGATTTTCAACCTTTAGCGACTAAACTGTGATTTCTCGATAAAATTTATACTAAACTAAATTTTACACCCTTTTTCTAAAATGTTACACTTTTTCTGAAAAGTTTCTAAACTTATACTTTTTCGTCAAAATACTTATACCATTTTCTGAAAGTTTATACATTTTCGTCAAAACGCTTACACCATTTGAAATTATTAATATATTATATTATTTAATTAATTTACCTGCCAAGCGACCCGTTTAGCAGGTCATCAATGTGTAAACTTTCAATAAAATGTCCTATAACCCAATACATAAAAGGTGTAAGTACAAAGTACTAAGGGTGTAAATGATATGCAAGGCATACCTAAGAAAGGTCCTTAAAATTATATCAATTCTCTATTTTTTTACATAATTTTTTTTAAAAAGTCAAAAAAATTAAAAAGTCAACTTTTAACCAACTTTTCAAAACACCCCTTATATAAATAGAATGGTGATGTACTGTTCACTAATTATGAATGAGTCATATTAATATATTTTTATTTCAAATTTTAAAATTTAAATTAACCTAATAATTATAGATTTTTTGAATTTTCATATTGTTGTTTGCACAATTAGCACTGGTTTGGCATAATAGATTGTGACTAAAATAATTATAAAAAGATAAAATAGACTAAAAAATTAATAAGATAAAATATCACATCCAAATCATAATCATTTGATTTTTTTCTCTCATAAAGATCAAAAAAGTCAAAAAATCTATCATAAACAAGATTTTTTAGCCCAAGCTAAATAGTCAAAAAAATCAACCTATATCCCAAATGAACTCTTACAACGATATATATTAAATTGAAGATGTCATTTTTATCAAATTAATCAAGGACACATTAGTTCATTTTTAGATCGATGACTCACTTTATAGAAATAAACAATTTGTATAAATAATGTGAATTTTATAATTTATCATCACTAACAAAAAATATTTCTCTCATATCATTCCTGGGATGAAGATAACTTTTCGGCTAAGATGCTTTGTTCTAAATTTTCTTTTCTTATCTTGTTTGATGCTTTGTTCTAAATTTTCTTTTCTTATCTTGTTTTAATAATTCTCAATCTTTAAAGTATGTGGGTCTTCAAAATATAATTTAATAATATATATATATATATATATAATAATGCCACAGAATCCTGTTCAAGTCTTCTACAAACACTACAAATCTGTACAAAAATAAATATAAAAACGACAAAATCCACTAGAGAAAAACTATACCAAGGCAATACTAAAAATTTAAAAAAATAAAAAATAAAAAATTCCAAAAACACAGTGTCTTGCTGTTAGAAAAAATGTCATTCTATACCACTACCAGCACTGGTCGGACTCCCAATTTCGGCGTGGATAATGGCCCGAAAATTCCGACATTGACGTGGCAGTCGCCATGGCAGCTAACGTGGCAGATGAAGAGCCAAACCTGTGACGTAACCTAAAAAGATCACGGTCATAAACGGCACGTTTATCTGGATCTGACAGGGTCGAGTAAGCGGCATGAATCTTCATGAATTCATTGGCCGACTTGTCTCTCCGATTCACCATTGCCACATCAGGATGACACGTCCTCGCCAATTTTCGGTACGCTGCCTTGATTTCGTTGCTGGTGGCATTCATCGGAATCCCCAAAACCTCGTGTAGTGATGTAGATGAAGCCATGTTAGCACAAACAGAGGTGGTATAGGCGGCGACAAGTTTGAGTTGTCGGAATTTGACACGAGCTGGAGTCGAAGAAGATAGTCTTTTGGTATTGATATTTGGCAATGAATGAAGTGATGATCCAAGAAATGAAGTAAAAGAGGAGGAAGAAGAAAGAAGCTTTTGTTTGATGAGAAGTGGGTTTGGGATTAGGATGTGAGTGTGGTTGCATAGCTTGCTTGATGAATTGTGGGCGTGCGACTTTATATAGACTACCTATATAAGTAATAACTTGGGTAAAATAAATATATAAAAGAAGTTATTTAGTAATTTAGAATAACATGTTCAAAATAATATCCATGTTCTTAGCTAATGAGATAATGAAAAGTTGACACGTAAAATAATAATCTCTCACATTTATCAGATTGTTGAGATAAGACAAGATTAATTTAATGTATTTGTAATTATTAATCTGTCCACATTTGTACGAGATTATACCTTTTAATTTAGGGGATATAAGAATAGTAACTTTTAAACCGCTTTTTCTTTTTCATAATTTTTATAATGCTTTTCTCATAAATTAAGAAAGCTACATCAATAACATTTCGTTAATTAATGATGCTCTAAAATTACTTAATATTTTTTCTTTGAAAAATGGGTTGTGGGCTTGTGGATTCACAAAACTGTTTTGAAATGCTTATCCATTAGAAACTGTACTGTGATGAGTCAGCAAAATGTACGTATGTAGACCTAATCTTTTTTAAGGTCCCACCTCTTCTCAACCTCTGAATGGAGGAGCCTAGAACTGGTACTTATACCATGTTTGGACAAAGAGTTACATCAACTTTTTCTTTTTTTTTTTCTTTTTTTTTTGGATTTGGATTGGAGTGATGACACACCTTCCATTTTTAATCAGGGTAGATACATTTTATTTTATTATTTTGATGGTAATAAGGGCCACTGAAAGTTGCTTTAGATATATCCAAAGCTATCAACTGCAAATGAATATTAAATTTTACCTTGGATAACCAAAGAGGCAATAGAGCTTTCTTGGTTCTTTGTTTTCTTCCCATTATTGAATAATTTGGCAGCTGGAATTGAATTTTTGGATCAAGGGTTAGATTCAATTGACACAACCTTCACTTTCTCAACATAATAATTTTGAAAATCTAAGAATGTGAAAGATTTTAAAAAGGGAAATGCACAGTTAAAAAATTATATTTTGGAACTAAGTTTGGAATTTCAAGTCCGGGAAGTGGAAATAAAATATTAAATATAAATAGATTTTGTGTATAATGGTTATAAACCTATGATGCTATTATAATTTAATAAAAAAATTTATTATATGTTTATAGAAATTATATTATTAAATTAATAAGAGATAAAAAAGTGTTAAGCATTATTAACTAACAAAATTTATTTTTCCAAAAGTATTTTAATTCATTTGGTAAATTATTTTTCACTAAAAATTCACTTTAATCACTCTAAAAAGTTATTAAAAAATTCAAAAGAATTAAAAAATTATTATTTTTAATTTAATTTTTTAACTAATATAATAACTATTTAAATAGCTTTGAAATTTTTTTATTTTGTTTTTTTTTTGTAAGTGTGTGTGATACCGATATGCTTATGGAAAGTTAGATAACCACAAGACCAATAACGGGGCATCACATCAACCTATCCAAAAACGGACAAGGTTTTGCAGCCTGTGCGATTGCTGCCTTTTGAAATAGAATTCCTCCTTGCAATATTCCTTACAACGGTTAAAATCGCAATATTTAACGGTTGATTTTAATTTTTTTATTTTATTTATTTATTTTTTTATGACTATTGAATTTTACAACATTTAATCTCAACCGTTACAAGAAAGATAGCAAGAAGGAGTTGCAAGGAGAGAATCTGAACTCGCAACATGTCACTAGGTTCCGTAGCTTACTTTCTGTTTTTATTTATTTTTTATTTTGAACTCTAATCATATTTTTTTTTTGTTTTCGGTATTGTTTTATTTATAATAATAATATTTTTTTTCATATTTTAAGTAAAATTTTATTTTCTACATACACATAACTTATATACACTTAAAAAATAAAATATTTATAAAAAAATATTTAAAAAATTCAATAAATAGAAAAGAATACGAAAATATATTAAATTATATATATTTTTGTATTTGATGAATTTCTTAAATTTTTTTATAAATATTATACTTTTGTAAGTGTATTTAGGTTAGGTGTATTTAAAAAATAAAAAAATACTAAAATTTTTGACTAAAACAAAAAAAAAAATACAAAAAATCAAAAACTCAATCTTTAAAAAAATGAGTTCAATTTTCTAAAACAAACAAGGTGAATAGCATCATTATACAAATATTTAATTTGGTATTCTGCCCATTAGATTGACTAGTTTAGAAAACTAATCCGATCGTTTACTTACAGGATCCTGATTAAAATGAACGCTTTTCACAATTTTATTTTTTATTTTTATTTGCATTCATTTATTTGTAGATGTGTATTTAAAAAGTAAAAAAAGTTGGCCAAAATATTAAAACACAATTTGAAAACTCAATAACAAAACAGAGTGATTGTACTTTCAGCCCAATTTGGGCCCAAAAATATTTACCAACCAGCCCAAAATAGCCGCCCAACAACAAATATTCATAAACGTTGCATGTTTGAAGTCCAATGCAAAGCCCAAAACAAATTGTTGAAGTCCAATAAGAGAGAGCCCCATTTGGTTGCACTCTGCAAAACAATGACAAGTAAGAAGAAGAGGAAGAGATCGACGGTGGAGAGGCCAACCATACATCCTCGGAACAAGTACTCCGACAACCCACCCGACTTCGGCCTCTTAGCCTCTTTCTATCCGACATTCGAACCCTTCGTCTTCTACTCTCGTGACGGTCGGCCTCGAATCGATTGGACCGACTTCAATGCCACCAGAGAGCTCACTAGGGTTTTGCTCCTCCACGATCATGCCCTCAATTGGTACTCTTCAATATTTTTTTATTTGTTTTTGTTTTAGTCTCCGTTTGGTTTCTGAGAAAATTTAGGCAAAGGAAAGAAATTTGAAAGAAAATTTTGGTTCCTTTTTTTGGGGTTTTTTTGTGCTCTTCTGATATTTAGTAAATTACCTATACAAAAGTAAATAGTTGAATTGACCTCTGTTAAGTGGAGCTTGTGGTTCTTGGATACAAAAGTTTTTATGCTTTAAATTCTTTAATTTTTTTCTTGCTATTTCTCAACATCCAAATGGAGCTTTAAGTTCTTGTAGAATTCACTCATGGGTTTAAGCATGTGGGTGTTGGTTTTCTTTTAAATTTTTTAAACGTTGCTCAACTGAGCTAATAACTCAATTGAACGCAACTAATGGACCATTTTATTTTATTTTTTTCCCACTACAATGTTAAACCAAACATTGCATTTCCAATGTGGGTGTTCGTAGTGAGCCCATTGTGTGCAGTATTGGCTTTTGTGGTTAATTTAGAGATAAATGCAATATTGTAGGTGGATTCCTGATGGGCAGCTCTGCCCTACTGTGCCAAATAGATCTAATTACATCCACTGGATTGAAGATTTATTGTCATCAGACATTTTAACAAACACTAATGCTGATGGCAATGGTGATATTGTAAGGGGTTTTGATATTGGAACCGGAGCCAATTGCATATACCCGCTTCTTGGTGCTTCCCTTCTGGGATGGAGTTTTGTTGGGTCAGGTAATTTATTTGAATTTTTCATTTGTCAAGTTTGTGTTGTCCCTTGTCACAAGACATTTATAGTAGAAAGTTTAGTGAGCTTCTAATGCTGCTGAACTTGGCAGATGTGACTGATGTTGCATTAGAGTGGGCGGAGAGAAACGTGAAAAATAACCCACAGATTTCTGATTTAATTGAAATTCGGAAGGTGGACAATGGTGAGGAGAGATCTAATGGTCAGTTGGTTGATGGGGAAAGTGGTACACACTTGTATGATATTGAGGCTATTAAGGCAGAGCCTGCCCCTTTAGGTTCACTCAAATTGCATTCAGATGTGAATAAGAGTTATCATGGACCACCTGTACTTCTTGGTGTTGTCAGGGATGGTGAGAAATTTGACTTCTGTATGTGTAATCCTCCATTCTTTGAAACAATGGAGGAAGCAGGACTAAATCCAAAAACTTCTTGTGGTGGGACTCCAAAGGAGATGGTTTGTCCCGGTGGAGAGGAGGCTTTTATCAGTCGAATTATTCGAGATAGTCTTCAATTGAAGCAGTCTTTTCGGTATCAAACTTTCTAAATGCCCCGTTTTCATTTATCTTTAATGCCTCATTGTGCTCATGTAATTAGATAAACTTTGGAAGTGTTTACTTTCTTTATAGGTGGTACACATCATTGGTTGGAAGGAAATCAAACTTGAAGATTCTGATATCAAAACTTCGTGAGGTTGGAGTTACTATAGTTAAGACAACTGAATTTGTCCAAGGACGAACTTGTCGATGGGGGCTTGCATGGTCATTCATGCCTCCTTCCAGGAAGATAATTTCGTCTCATGTGGCTGAGAAGAATGTCCTATCTTTCACACTTGAGGTGTGGATATTTTTCCTAGTTTGCATGAATCAATGTGTTATCTATTCTCCTGATGTTGTGAAGGACTTCTTGATGCGATGTACTGTTGAAGCTACTTTTACCTCTATCAAGAATCCATAATGTCTGTCTTTCGTTACCAAAATTCCATTATAATATATCATATTTCAAGTTTATCTGATTTTCAGGGTCTTCAACGAAAATACAGTGCCATACATGTGTTGGAATCTGTGGAATCCTTTTTCTGCAGTGCCGGTGCATCTAGTAAATCAAATGCTTCTGCATTTACCATTGATGTATGCTCTTTCTCTTTTACTATGTAATTTGTTTTTTTATTTTGGTTCCTTTTAAATGCAATATTACTATATACTTACATCTAACACAAACTCACTTGATTAGGTCACAGCTTCTAATGATCACTGTGATACAATCCTGAAGAATGAGCTAAGAAATGTCGATGTACCTGCAGCTTGCCAATATAAGCAAGTAATGTCCAATGCTTTATGTTGTTCGCATCTTCCATTGAACGACCTGTCTTTCCGCATTTCGGTAAATTTTTCTCTGTTATAGGCTTGAGTATTAATATTATGCCTTTTGCTGTTAGAACTTGTATTTGATTGCATATGTTTTTCTATTTATAGGTCTTTCAGCAAATCCCAGGTACGCTTTTGGTGAGAGGATCCTTGCAGCATAAAGAAAGCCCTGCTGCAGGTTTGTTCATGCTTTTTATTTTTTCTGTAGTTTGAATTTTTCTCCCTTGACCATGGTTTATTCATATTATTATCACACTTAATCTGCCTCTTGGTGTTTTAACTCCAAATCGTAGCATGAAGCATAATTCTTATTTCAACGCAATCAAGCCTTGTTACTACTTTTTGGGTTTGATAGTTTAAGTGTATATTACCATGGTTGTCGGAATCTTACGTTTCATGATTCGATTCATACAATTTGATATGAATTTCAAGTAAAACGATTCGATTTGTACAGTTGAATTTTAAATTGAATGAATTCTTCTTGAAAAGGTGCCTTAGTTGTTTATCATGTTTTATGATAACGAGGAATCCACTGATCCTACCTTCGGTGGGACTCGTGGTAAAACCCGGATATGTGCGACCACCTACTAACCTTACATATTGTGTTGGGGGTTCAAACCTTACCAAAGTCGAGGTTAGGGTGTACCAAGGCTTTTTAACTCCTATCTATTTCACCTGCTCCAAAAGTTTAGCAACTCCCTCTTCTTCCATACCCTTAGGGTCCATACCCTTAGGAATAGGCTAGAGAATCAACTTATTCATGCCCTAGTAAGTAACTTATTCATTTCTAGTGAGCAAGGAATGTAGGCTATGTGTAGATATTCTTGTCCTCAATGCTAGGCCTATGCACGGGTCGGTTTGGGTCAGGTTTGACCCTTACCTGAAACCTAATCGAACATGATCGGTTTAGATATTTGTAAACCAATCTCGACCGTTCATGTTTTCAAAATTGACCGCTCATGGCAAACGGGTTAGCGGGCGGGTCCAGGTGGGTGGTGGGTTGAAAAATTACATATTTAGATTTTTGAAATTTGGGCCTGTATATTGCCTATTTTGGGAGGAAGAATGATCTAGACTTGCATTTGGGAGGAAGAATGATCTCGCCCTTAAGATTAGGAATTTGCATGATCTGAGTGAGCTCCCCGTACTTCTTTCGGAACTTCTAGACCTGATTGGCATCGATGAGCAACTGAGATCGGTTTTTGAGGTGGAAGGGGTGGTTTCTAGACCAGACGTTGACAACATACTCCTTCTGAGTCCCACCAGTGCTCATCACGAGTTCACCATTGCAGTAGACCTTGGAATCCTCGTAGAATTGAGGGTGTATGCCTTTCTTCTTGCAGCTCCACTATGGATGATTGGGTTGTTGTCCCACTGTGGTGGTTAGCTTGTTGGTGGAGGAGAGAGATGGAAGAGGAGGGAGGTTTCTTTGGATGAATGTGTTGGATAGTGTTAGCGCCATTTTTTTTCTTCTTGTGGAGAGAAAGAGAGAGAGAGAGGTGAGTGGTTGTATCTTGGAATTTGAAATTTAGAAGTTGGAAAGTGTGTTGAGCAGTCAAAACGTCTCTCTATTCTTGAGAGATGTTAGATGGGTTAGGTAATAGGTAGGTAGGGTAATAATTGTATCTCCAAGACCAATGTGTGGCTGCAAAAAATCTGTAAGGCAAATAACTTTGGTTCGGGTCGGTTTCGACGGGTTTGATATGTCTATAACCGCTCCCCGAATTGAAAACCAAAAAACTAACATTTATAGAACCACAGGTGACTAAACTGTTAGTCGAAACCGCCTGTTTTTTTATCGGGTCGGGTGGACCGGGCAAGTTAGGCGGGTGGGTCGGATCTCTGCACACCCTTACTCAATGCCCATGATATAGGATTGAATTACTTTTTGGAACATGTCACTCTAAAGGGAATATATTCTTGGTGCCTAATTTTAAGTGAGGTTTTTCTGAAAGATTAATCTTATCTTATTCTTCTTATTCTTTTTTTTTTTTTAAATTTATTTATTTATTTATTTTTAATGTTATATTTAGAATACCATCTTTTATGGCATAATCACAAACATTAATGTAATAAGTTTCACATGAGCCCTATTAATATCCAATGGTTGTGGTTGTGCCACTTGAGATGGTATTCCAAATGTGGCATAAAATGATGGATTGGGTTTCTCTCTGGTGGGAGAGAAGCAAAGTCTCGTCCAGTTTGGGACCTTATGGGCCATCACAAGTCCCGTATCAGTGATCTTATTCGTTCATTTTGTAACTCTTTTATGTGTTGTCAAGGGGGATAGGAACTAGCCAATTTGAGTTTGGAGAGAGGAACAAAACAAGAAAATACATAAAAATAAAAGAGGATAGGAGACACTGTATGGTCGTGTCAGACCATTGGTGAAGACACTGGATGGTGGTGTCATAACGTTGTAGAGGACACTGAGCTGCATAATTTTACCAAATTTGTCTAAATAAAATAAAATAAATCAAACTCATTCATAACAATTATCAAATCATTTTTATTTATTTATTTATTTATTTTTTGTGGATGATCTACACACATGACATGAGACTACAAAATCAATGACCCAGATCATTAAAGTGGACGAGTCCAACTGGATGGAAAAGTGTGGAGAGAATCGGGAGTATAAAAATAAGAGGGAAGGTTGTTATCTATAGGGGCATGATGGTAATATTCAAGAAATGTGATGAATATTTATGCAAAATTTTAATTAACAACAGCTTCTTGTATAAGTGGAAAGTTGATAAAGCACCCGGTAGTCAGTTTTTTAAAATTAGCTTGTTTGATCTTAAATAAGTTGAAATAAGATTAAACCATTTTACCGTAAGTTACAACAAACATGTTATTTAAGCTCAACTAAAGTTAAAAGTTAAAAGCTGCATCCAACAACCCCAAACTAGTGTATGATAAATATACAGCAGCAACAACTCTCTGCACACATCTGGCTAACATAAAGCAATAATAATGAAGATCTAATATTGTTATTCAGGCTTTTACTTCAATCCTTGCATGAGTAAGCCCAACACACGCATCAACAAAGTCCTCATCTATAAAATCTGTCGAAAAGATTTGCAATCGGTCAGCACATCCTCTGGAGAAGCACTGACTTATGAAAAGCCTAGCATGTCCACAGATCCAATCTGTCATCGGTTTAACCAACAACAAGAAGTTACCAAGTTGAGCCGTTAAGTGTTCTCCACCCTGTCAAAAAAATTCCTGGACATTGCTGGCGGTTGCCTGTTTAAATTCTCCAAATTGTCGTGAAACTTTTTCTATGGCCAATCTGTGTCAATCCATTCATCCTTCAAGTACCGAGCATGCCACAATGCACCTCCTGCCTCGGGGTGAGGCGAATTCCTCAGTTTCCACACACAAATAATTCTCTTCAGCAACAATTCTGCAATTGTCTTCTCAAAGACATGATCATCTTGGTGGATCAGAAACTCGGCAAGTTGAATCTTCAAGTACTTGTTGAACTCAGGGGGGTCATTGTGTCCATACTCTGTCCGGATCTCCAGAATTATAATCTCTGATTGGGTCTCGGATAAAAACTTCTTGATGTCTTGGATGATGAAGTCAACGCTATAGCTCTTGAGGATCCCATGACAAGCCAAGCGATCCTCCTGGACTTCGATATCGAGGATACGAGTGCCTCTTTTGAGCTGATAGTAAATGGACGAGGATTGGCATTTGGCGAAGGGGCGAGTAATGACTGGGATCCCAATCACTTTGCTTGGTTTTAGTTTTTTAAAAACACTTTTCAGAAAATTTTACTTTCTTATTTACCGTATTTTTTTGTTTTTACTAATTTTTTTTTAATATTTTAAGCATTTTTTTAAAAAATTTTTAGACACACCTAACATAAATACACTTAAAAAGTATAATTTTTGTGAATTTTTTTTAAAAAAATTTACTAAATATCAAAAATACAAAAAAAAAAAAAAAGAGTATGAAAGTTTAGTATATTTTTCGTATTTTTGTGTATTTATTAATTTTTTAAAATATTTTTTCACAAATATTTTACTTTTTAAACACATCCAAGTAAGATGCCTCTAAAAAAGTAAAAAAAAAATGTTTAAAATTTAAAAAATATTCACTAAAAACAAAAAAATACGAAAAACAAAAAATTTAGTTTTCAAAAAACTTAATTCAGAAAATTCAAACCAAACACTGAATATTGTTGGTAGCGAGTTATGGGTACCTGGCCACAACCTTATTGAGGTGAACTTTCTCTATGTTGAGGCCGGACATCCAATTTTTCTGATCAGGAGGATGGGAGTCGCAACCAGGAAACTTGTTGCCGCAGTCTTGCTGAAGATCACACGGTTTTCTCCTCTTTGGAGAACAGGTCACCCATTATGAGAATCAGACAAGAAGAATAATTATTCTAACTCTACTGACTTCTTTTTTCTTCTCCTTTATTATGTTGTTTGAAGTTGTGACAAAAAGGCATTGACGTGAGCCCCTTGGTGGGCCTAACAGCACCTCTAATGGCTTTGCCTTGCCCTTTAATAAATGCATCTTAACGCTTGTAAGTTTCACTATGAGGTTAGGCATCTCCAATTACAAGCCTACAATCACATCCACCTACACATCGAAACACACACTCGTAGAGAGTGGGTGTTTTGTGTTTGGATGTGTTGCCATCTGCTTTCATTTATGTTGTGATTTGACTTCCTGTTTTACCTTGGTTTTGGTAGGCTGGCATGGTTCAATAGAAATGTTAAATGCGCAGAAATAGAATATAAAAAGTACACAGAAGTGTACTGTGATTGAAATTCATCTCGAATGTGGTTTGTATCAGATTCTTCTATCTTCTGATTTGTCAATATCATATCTAATCTTTATGGATCAAACACTCTTCAATTCCTTCACATGGATACATACAATGATACAAGATTCATTAAGGCGATGAAGGTGTCCTTGACCCTTCAATTTCAATCATTGCATGCTTTTTATATCTAGTTTAGCTAAAGCATGTCCTGTTTTTATCTGCAATTAGTAACAGTAATTCATCCAAAATACATTCATAAAATGTTGTGCCTTACCCAATTGAGTTGGGGTTGCTCTCTCCAAACTTCTGTTTCAGCTAATTTATGGGATTGTGGGGTTTTTTTTCTCCCCTGCAGGTGCATTCTCATTGATATTTCCGAGATTGGAGGAAGTCCTAAAAGCAAAATTTTGTCGAGAGAAGGCACCTGTGGATGGTTTCTACTCTAATACAGCAAGATAACAATGTCACATTTGCTGAAATTGCCGTAAAAAGGTTAGATTTTTGCTTGTAGCTTTAGAGTGGGAAAAAAATTGTGTACTGTACATTACTTGACATTTGCTTTTATGTGATGAAGGGAATTTATAGTTGAATGGGTGGGAAACTCAATTACAATTTTCATGGAATTAGTTGATTATATGTATCTATGGAAGACTTAATCCAACATTTGGCTCATTGGTCACTTTTTTTTTTTTTTTTGTTTGAAATGTTACCAACATTTACTTTCAATTGATGGATAAATATAGGAAGTCCTGGTTATGGTTTGTGAATTACACCTTCCCCAACTGAAGGAATGAAAACATTGCTCATCTTCATGTACTGTTTATGCAATTATTTATTTATTTTTGTACGGAACAAAATCAGAATAGTTGTAGTTGTGCCGCATGAGATTATATTTCAAATGTGGTATAAAATGATGGTAAATGTATGTTAAAATACAATGTATAAAATTGATTGTATTATTGATTCATATATATTGTTGTATTGATACATTTTCTGTCTATTACAAATGGTTCCTTATATAGATATAGGTATAGTGGATGGTGTGTAGTGGAGTAGGTGAGGTGGTAGTGGTGTAGTGGGTTAGGTTTAGTGGAGTAGGTGAGGTGGTAGTGGTGGTAGGTGATGGTAGGTGAGGTGGTAGTGGTGGTAGGTGATGGTAAATTCTAACAATGTAGTATTATTATTGTTATTTGAAAAATAAGTTTTGCCCTAAACGGTGCTATTACAACCCAAATTAAGAAAAAAGTGAACCCTTCAAATATATGATCCGTCAATTCATCCCTAATGATGTGGCGCGGGGTTGAGTCTTAGGTGGTTAATTTTTAAACCAATCAATAGCTTACATGGAGTAGTTCATATCATTGTAGGTGTAACTAGGGATTATATTTTAGGGGTCTCTAAAGTTTTCTTCTATACGCATATACTCTTGTAGTTCAAATCTAATCATTTTCTGTGCCCACAGTTTATTGACTAATAACATAGTGTACAAATTAACTATAGAGGAGCCAGACTAAACAATAGTGTTCATTTGATGAGGAAGAGAGAAAGAAATGAAAACTTAACCTATGAAGTGGAAGCCTTTCAAATGGAAAGTGCAAATTGGAAATGTAGGCATGAAAACAATTATTGGATTCAAATCAAAGCAACCCACATCTCTACATCATAAATATTCAGCAGCAACAAACCTCTGTACACCCAACAACAAATACAATCAAACCACAAACAAACACAATCACAGAATATAATATACCATCAACAAATCCAGAATGGGTTTCTTCCACAAAGCAATAACAATGAAGGTCATGATCATCCAACATTGTCATTCATGCCTTTCCTTCAATCCTTGCTTGTGTAACCCCAACACAGGCATCAACAAAATCCTCATCTATAAAATCTGTTGAAAAGATCTGCAACTGTTCAGCACACCCCCTGGCAAAGCACCGAGCTATGAAAAGCCTCGCATACCCGTGGATTCGCTCTGTCACTGGTTTAACACACACCACCAGGTTATCAGCTTGTGGTGTCACAGTGTTCTCAACCCGGTAAAAATAATTCCTAGACATTGCTGGAGGCTGCTCACTCAAATACTTCAAGTTGCTCTTGAACTTCGTCAATGGCAAGTCTCTGTTGATCCAATTATCTTTCAAGTACCCTCCATTCCACAATGCCCTCCTGCCTCAGGCTGAGGCAAATTCCTCGGCTTCCAGACGCAGACAATTCTCTTTGGCAACAATTCTGCGATTGTGTTCTCAAAGACTTGATCATCCTGGTGAATTAAAAACTCACCAAGTTGATCTTCCAAGTACTTGTCAAACTCAGGAGGGTCCTCGTGTCCAAACTCTGTCCGAATCTCTAGAATTATAATCTCTGATTGAGTTTCTGTTAAAAACTTCTTGATATCATTGATGACGACATAGACGCTATAGGTCAGGAGGATCCCGTGACAGACATGGCGATCCTCCTGGACCCGGATATCAAAGACACGGGTGCCTATTTCGAGCTGATGGTAAATGGACAAAGACTGGCATTGGGCGAAAGGGCAAGTGATGAGGTGGCCGAGTTATGGGTACCCGGCCACACAACCTTGTTCAGCTGAACATTCTCTAGGTCGAGTCCCGACATCCAATTTTTTTGGTCAGGAGGGTGGTAGTCATAACCGGGAAACTCAATGCCGCAATCTTGCTGAAGATCACTGAGAGTTTTCTTCTCCGTCATGACCGATTTTCACTGTTCCACCTGTTTGGAGAGCTGGTCACCCATTATCAGAATCGGAGGAGAAGAATTCTAATTTCTTCCTCCCTCTTCTTCTTCTTCTTCTTTACAAAGTTGTTTGAAGTTGAGACAAAAAGGTGTTATTGGTTTTGTGTGCAATCTTATAGTTTTGTTGGTTTCACTCTTCAATTATGATCAGAGAATGATTTTCCTCCGCTCTTCAAATTTTTTCCCAACTATTTTAATATGTTGTGTTTTGACTTCCTCTTTTGTCTGGGTTTATAATAATTGATCATTGATGGAGAGTAAACTTATAAGTTATAATCGATGTATCTCATTGGTTGGTCTACTTGTTTGGCTGGCCAAAGCTAATTTGAGTTTTAATTATGATTTTTTGCCCTCTTTCTAAATCCGGAATCTGAGTTTTTAAATAATGATTTTTATGACCTCATGTATTTTTAACTTAAAAGTAATCCTAAAGTCACTAGATTTAAAAATAAATAATAAAAAAAAATTACACCCCCCATTGAAACTATAACGCGTCACATTGGCACATGAAACAAGAAACTATAACGTCTTGCATTGAGTTTTCTCCCACGAACGATTTTATTAATTTTTCGTTTTTTTTAAATTTTTACTCGCATAATAATTGACCTCTTCTATGTATAAATTATCAAATCTATTAAAATTTTTAATAACATTAAAAATATATTTCATTAACTATTTATGTAATTTTATTTGTTATATAAAAGGGTAAATAGAAATTTTATTTTTTCTATTAATTCTATTAAATAAAAAATTCTGACAATAGAATATTTATAATTTTGAGAATTATAAAAACAATTTATATTTTTAACAAATTTTAAAAATGTATATATATATATATATATTTATTTATAATTTACCCTAATAGATTACGTACACTCGTATAACTTTAGATGTCACATGAGCAGAGCAATAACACAAAAATTAATGACAGAATAGTTAACATATACTTGTATTACTGTAGATTCCAAATTGTATAGGCTTTACAATTCCTAACATATCACCCGTGGATAAAATAATATATCATTTATTAAAAACATGATAATTATATTTGATGATACAGTTTATTCCAGTGAATGGAGCGAACTGGTCCGAGCTCCTCAAGCCCAAGTCCAAATGATCAAGCCCACCGGATATCCTGCAAACAAGTTCCACAGGGAACGAGGTAGTCCCCCAGTGAACCCTCCGACGAGCAAGTTAGGAAGAGAAGTAGAGTATAGAGGGAGAGATTAGAGATAGAAAGCTTAACCTTCTTCTTGTCTTTAACGTTTGCTTATATTCTTTGGTAATCATTTCGCTGTCTCTTCCGACCTGCCATCTTCGCCGAAAGTTTATGCTGTAGCTTACCTTGTTTAGGGTAAGGGGACCCTGTTCCGACGGGAGGTGTTGTCGTAATAAATGCTGTGACGCGCTGATTAATGGTGATGTGCAGTGGCAATAACTTTGCAGATCTTTGTCTGCTGAATGCCATTGGTTCTTATGCCATATTGGATTCTAACTGTTCTAGACTTCTTCGGCTGGGTTATGTATTGGGCTCCGATTGATGGGCTTGGGTTGTTTATAGTGGTTCATGGCCTTTGTGGGCCTGCCCATGTCAGTAGTCCCCCATTCCCGAGTGCAGCTTTAGTCCAACGAAGGGAATATGTATGAGGAAGATGAGTCTGACCGGGATGGGCGGCCGAGTTGGTGGACCGAGTGTGAGATGGACCGACCGTGGGGAGGGCTGATCGCGCAAAGGCCGAGCGACAAGGAAGACTGTGAGGAGGGTTGACCGCGGGAAGGCCGAGCGGAAGGACCGACCATGAGGAAGGGCGACCGCGCGCGAAGGCCGAGCGAAAGGGCCGACCGTGAGGAGGGGCGACCGTGCGCGAAGGCCGAGCGAGGGGCCGAGCGGGAGGAGGGGCGACTGCGCGCGAAGGCCTAGCGGAGGGGCGCGGGGCTCAAGAGGCGGCGTGTCAAGTGATGATTTGAAGTGGAAAAGACAGGGTAAGGAGAGTAGACAGTGCATCGTGGTCATACACGTGACAATATGTTGAGGGGGGAGGTTAGGCGTTGGAGCAGAAATGAAACAATAGGTCATTATGGGTGTTGAAAAGGCAATTTTGGCGGATGATTTAAAAAGTTTTCAAACTGGCGAAAATTAATTGGGATCCTTGGAATACGGGCAAACCGTGGGCTTTTGGCGTCATTCGATTCATCTACTTGTTTACAAAAACTCGAAACATCCCAAGTGTTAATTCCTTCGTTGCTCATGATACACCTTTGCAATAGTTTTTTAATTTTCTTGCTCTTGCGTCAGAAGCGATTCGCAAACATTCCATAGAAATGGCCCAAGAAGAAGCTGTGAGTGTGAGGGTGGACCCACTTGGTGATGATGATGTAGTGGAGCTAGCGACGCAATATAGGACAGAGAGGGTGGGGAGTCGGTGGTACGATCCCATGGTTCCACCATGATAGCAGCTCCAAAGCCAATCAGCCAGGCGGAACCAGATCATTGGCACACGAAGGCTGACAAATCCACGATTACTGCGGCGGAGTTGGAGGCTATCCGCGAAAAATACCAGATCCCTGTGGAAGTGGAGTTATTGCTGTCGACATCAACGGAAAGGCCGTCTGACGCCAGGCCAGGAGAGTTTTCCCTTTATGAGGAAGCTTTGAAGAGTGGACTGAGGTTGCTACTGCCGCAAGTGGTAGTGGATGTGCTCAACAGTCTGGAGGTAGCACCGGGGCAACTAATGCCCAATGCATGGAAGATCCTGCTGGCCTGTGCAAGTGCGTGGCCGAAGGCGAATGGAGGGGAGGCCATGACAGTAGACGAATTCTTTGCATGTTATAAGGCCTCGGGGCAGCAGGAGACGTGGGTCACTCTGCAGGCAGCAATGGAGAAAGGGTTGGTGGCAGGGCTGCTGTCGTCGATCAAGGGGTGGCGACCACGATGGTTTTACGTGTCTGCCAATAGGGGGCTTGGAGTGCGCACCATTTGGAAAGTACCCATCAGGTCTGTGGAGTTGAA